CTGAACGAGCCATGGCGAGAGCGCCGTGCGCCGCCGACGGCGATAAGCCGTCTCCCGACCGAAACACTTTTTCCCTCGGCAACTCTAGACCAACTGAACATGAAACATTATTTTGAGGAATTTAAGACATAAATGCACGGAAGAACATGACCATAACTGAAGGTAACAGAACATGACTTGGTGTCGCCCGCGGCCACGCGCGATAAGCGCTGGCGACGACTTTGGCCTATTTAACACAGAAAACCACATTTTACCTCGACCAACATGGTCTAACTGGGCATGAAATGATCTAAACTAAACAAATAAACATGAATTGTACGAGAGTTGCCGGGTAGAAAAAGAAATTACTCGATCACGATTCAACTTAAGTATTTTCGAACTTTAACACGGCAATACTATAACCTCTTGAACATGAGTCGAACACTTCAGCTTAAAATGAACTCATTAAAATAAAAATAGGCTAAGAATAGCTATACCATCTTGAGTGTTCGACGGAATTCACAATCGATCGTGACCTCGCGTGAGTGGGCGCCGTGTGCGATGCTACTCGTCGTGCGGTACTTCGCCAATTGCCGTGCGTGGTGTTATGGAAAGCTTAAGATGATATGTTAATCTATTTGATGCTGAATATAGGCTGAAGGATACGAACATAAGGTGGGAAAAATTGGGAAAATTTTTGTCCAAACATGCTTATAAATACTAAGGCCGAGAGAGATATGATGATGTAGGTGATTTGTGGCCTTCTATTAACCTTACACTTGCCAACTCTTAAGCTAAAGCATGATGACTAATCTCCCCCTTTAAGTCCTACTAAGGCCACGTGTGATGGTTAAAAAGTTGGAAGGAAATTTAATTTCCTTAATACTTAGGAAAAGGAATAACAATTGGAACCATATTGATATACTTAAGCTTACGGCTTTTTAAACAAAATTTAGGCCATCCTTTTAATCTCTCACGGCTTTGCTTGATTTAATTGTGATTAGTTGCTAATTAATCACAATTAAGTGCTTAATTAAATAATTAAGCATACTACTTAATTACCAAAATTATTCTGAACGTAAACGGTACGTCGAAAATAGTTTTCGGTAATCTCGACTGAAAATAATTAATTCCGACAATAATAACGTTAACATTATTATATCGGAATTACAACATAATTTATCCTGATAAAATATCGGGATATTACAAGATGGTGGATAGTAGTGAGGCGCCTCATCGTGACCCGGAGAGTAATAACCAAAATCGACTTGAGATGGCGGGTAAGAAGAGCTCGGATACGGATAGGGCGGCCCTCAATACGAGTATATCTCCTCATGATAGTTGTCGGGATATCCACTAGATGAGCTACCGACATAATAATATCCGTACGGGTCCATCGGAGCTCCTCAAGCGAAATACCTCGCACAAGAAAAACAAAACAACCAAGACACACGAGACAAAGGAAAGAAAACACAAAACGAAACTAACACGACATGATATGTACACGAACACACAAAGAAAAAACAAGAGAAATGGAAAATAAGCAAATAATCAAGAGAAACACGCAAAAACAAGCAAAATCCACAAAAAGCAAGAAAAACACGGAAACAAACGACAACTAGATAGTAAACTTGGCGTCCTACTCGCTCTTCCCAGCAACGGCGCCATTTTGTTTGTAGTATTTTTGGGCATGTGGTAACCGAGCTACCCGACTCGGGTCGTTCTCAAAGGAAGACTCTTCGGAGCTTTGTTCACTACCTAGTCGTCAAAGTCACACAACCGAAAAGAAGGTCCTACACATTCTACTCGCTTGAAAGGGATTGATTTAAGCTAAATTAATCTACGAAATTGAGGGCATTGAAAGCAATTAAAACACGCAAAAAGATGAGAGAAATCAAGGGGAAAGAGACATTTTGGTTTGCCGGAGTCTCTATGATCAATCACACGTAAATAACCGAACATTGTCATGCTAGCTAAAACCCTAGGAAACTAAACCCAACTCTAGCACAAGACGAGCAAGCATTCAACTCCTAATCACACTTAGTCAAGCATTCACGATCTAAAGATTCAATCTTTTCCTCCAAGCAACACAAGCACAATATCAATTTTCACAAAAAGCAAATAACGATATACGAAGTAATGGGGCTCAAGACTAAGTACCCACTCTCACACGCACTTGGGAAGAAAACCGGAGTGAAAAGCTCGAAACTTTACTCGAAACAATATCGCCGGAAATTCGCCGGAAAACTTGATTCATAAGCTCCAAACCAAACATGAAAAGGAAAAAGAGAAAATAGAGAGGAATTCCCAACTTAAAGTTGGGAAATGAGGGTTGTTTTCAAAAATACAAAGCACAATGTCTATTTATAGCTACACCACAAACACATACTAAAAACACACACATTTAATGAAATTATGAAGTTCACATGTCTCGAAATGGAGTTCGCAGCGAGTTTTGGAGTGAAAATCAACTGGAAAGGCGCTTTCGCGGCTCGCCAAAGCAATTTCGTAGCGAGTTTGGGCATGGTGTGTTGTGGGGTGCATTTGGCAGCTCGCGAACTTGAGTTCGCTGCGAGTGTGCGGCATGGGGCTGCTGGGGCGCGGCATTTGGCAGGTAGCGAATCGGAGTTCGCTGCGAGTGGCGCTAGGATCCCTTGGAGTTGCGTCTGACGGGTCGCGAGTCTCCATTCGCTGCGAGTACCGCGTACTTGGGCTGGCGTTATGGCGCGGCGCGAACGACATTTCGCAGCCAGTGCCCAGGGCTATGTGCATGTGCGTGGTTTCGCTGGTCGCCAAAAGGAAGCCGCTGCGAGTGCTTGGGTTGGTGATTTGTCTCGAAATTGGCTCGAGTGTTTCGTAAATTATCCGGATGGCTCGATAATGGCACAAAATTGGCATGTCTTCCCAAAATTGTAAATTGGACCTAAATAACACACCAAAAGAGACACGAAAATACGACAAAATACAAGAACACATAACGAAAACAAAAACACATACAACACGACAAAATGGACCAATTGACTCAAAACCAAACCTAAAAATGACTCGACTAACCACATAAAACACAAGAAAATAAGCACAAAAAAATAACAAACACCTACTCACGGAACCAACACCAAAAGTGTAAACCCACCACTAACTCAAAGGACCTAGTAGGTAAACAACTACCAACAACCAACAAAACAAACTACAACTTTACGAAAACAACAACTAAAGTCCAACAACAAGAAAAATTGCAAAACTAATACAAACTAAACAAGACTAATAGCAAGACTCTATCAATCAGATACTACAAGAACTACAATGGAGTGATCTGATTTCTGGGAGTCTGGATAGATTCACTTGTTGCGGTCTTGCTAAATCCACCACAAAAGATAAAAAGTAAGATGAATTCTGTCATTTGAGGTGGCTGAATTACTAAGAGAGCGTATGTGAAAAGCCATGTCTGCAGTGTCATGCAAGAAAAAGGAAAAGATCGCCACATCAGACTTGGGCAAGAAGACCCCCATGCACACGTGGACGAGCTCTCATGCAAGAAGACAAAGATGGGAGAAGTGTAAAAGCTGTAAAGATTAGAGCATGTGTCTTTCTCTTGATTGGTACTTGAACAAGATCAAATCTCAACCATTGATCATTGGACAACCCAATATATATAAATGGCATAGAAAACATATGTTAGGGTTATGAAAAAATATTGTCTGCTCCTTTCATTAAAAACCCTTGTATGCATTTATGTTGTTAATTTGAAATGGATATTATTGATTGTGTATTTGATGTTAAATCCATGAGCTTTTTTTTCGTGGTATCAGAGCATGCAAAGACCTGACTCTGAAAAAAAAAAAAAAAAAACTTTTCTTTCATATCCTTATAAATCAAAAAATAAAGGGGAAGGATATATGGCCGGCCCTAGCTCAAATCAAAGTCAGATCGTGTTTCCCCAAAGCCAACTCATATTTGTCAAGTTAGATGAGAACAACTTTTTGATATGAAAGCAGCAAGCTCTCTCAACCATCAAGGGATATGGATTGGAAAATTTCATCAAGAAGGACATTAAATCTCCTGCTCATACATGCATAGTGAAAGGATCTGAGCAGATAAGTCTAGAATACACTATGTGAGAAAGGCAAGATCGGATCTTAGCCTCATGGATCTTATCCTCCTTGACTGAAGGTATGTTAGTCTTGACTGCTGGCTTGACTAGTTCAAATGAGATATGGTTGGCACTAAAAAACAATTTTTCTGCACAATCTCAAGCATAAGTCATGCAATGCAAAATCTTGATGCAATCACTGAAAAAGACTGACATGAGAAAAAGGGAGTATCTGTAAAAAATGAAATCATTCTGTGACATATTAGCTTCAGCTAGACACAAGATAAGTGAAATAGATCAGGTCTTACATATATTCTATTAGGTCTTGGGAATGAATATGACTCTGTGATGGTCAATGTTACCTTTAGGCTAGAACCAATCTTAATGAACTTCAATCGAGATGGGAGATTTGGTAAAGGAGAAATAGGAAGAGGTAGGTGTGGTGGAAATAGAGTGATATGCCAGATTTTTAATGTAGCAAATCACATTGCAGATAAGTGTTGGTACATGAATGATTCAAGCTATCCTACCTCAACTGCAAATCAGTCTTCTCAACAAGGATACATGCAAAGAGATCCAAATCTCAATCTTGCACAGTTTAGTCAAATGCAGTAGATTGGTAATGGGAACTTTGGATCTGAAAATGGCAATGAGGCCTTTTGATTCCCAGATTCAGGAGCAACAACACATGTGACAATGAGTTGGCCAACCTCAACATGGGTTCTGAGTACAGTGGAAGTAACAGACTCCAAATGGGAAATGGAGGAGAGATCAGTATCAATCACATTGGTAATTCATTCTTAAAATCTCCTCAAAACTCAAAAACCTTCCTCTTGAGAAATCTATTGCATGTGCCATCTATTACAAAGAATCTATTGAGTGTGTCCTCTTTTTCTCTAACAACAATGTATTCTTTGAATCCTTCTTACTGTCTTGTGAAGGACCAAACAACCAAAGATATCCTACTCAAAGGGAATGTTAGAGATGGACTTTACCATTTCAGTCTTCAGAGAACCAAGGTTTTTGGAGATCATCAAAAGGCACCTCAGTCATTGAATCAACAATGTTAATCTCAAGGGAATAATGTTGCCTTAAATAATGAGATAGCTGATATGTGACATCTTAGACTAGGGCATTTCAGTCAAGATGTAATAGAAAATGCATTAAACTCTTGCAATTTACCTTATTCCAAGAATGGCAATGATAAGCTTTGTTCTTCTTTTGCTAAGGGACACAAACTACCTTTTGGTGATTCTGAAAATGTATGCACTAGACCTCTTTAGTTAATTCACTCAGATTTATGGAGACCTGCTCCCATTAAGTCCTCAAATGGTTATCATTATTATGTGAGCTTCATAGATCATTCAATAAATATGTTTGGGTGTACTTGCTGAAATCAAAGTCTGAGGTCAATAATGTGTTTGTTCACTTAAAAACTATGGTCGAGAACCATTTCAATTGCAAGATTAAAGCTCTTCAATCAGATAGTGGAACTTAATATAAAGCCTTGAAAGAGTTCTTCAGTTCTCATGGCATACATCATAAGATTTCATGTCCATACACACCCCAACAAAATGGGGTGGCAGAGAGAAAGCATAGACACTTAGTTGAAATGGGATTGTCTCTTCTTGCTCACTCAAATATGCCTTTGAGATTTTGGGATGATGCAATAACAACTGCAGCATACTTAATCAACAGGTTACCAAGTAAGATTCTCAACTACAAAACTCCCTTGGAATGTCTTGTCAATCATAAACTAGATTACACCTTCTTAAAACCTTTTGGGTGTCTGTGTTACATCTATGTGAGACCTTGGAATAAACATAAACTGCAATACAAATCAGTGTCTGGTGTCTTTACACAATTTGCAGTTTAAAAGGATACAAAGTTCTCCTTCAATCTAGGAAAGTGATAATCAGTAGACATGTTGTTTTCAGTGAAGAGGAATTTCTATACAAAAACAAAAGGGTTCAAAAATCACAGCACTACAATCACCAACCAAATCAGAATCACCAACCATACAGTGAGGATGATCATGTATATCAACCAGCTTCAAATCCATCAGTCCATGAACATTTTCAAAGTCAAAACACAAACAATGAAGCTCAAGAATCACACAGTCCAGGCCACTCTTCACCTATTGGATATTATGATCACAGGTCATCACCATAAACAGTGACTTCTTCTCACAGCACTGCACCTTTAATTGTTGAATTGCCATTGACCAATGAAACTCAGACAGCTGATCAAAATGAAAACAGGCCTAGCAATAATGTCAACACTAACAGACATCACATGGTCACTGGATCCAGAACAGGTCATCTCAAACCAAAAGTTTGGACAACCCTTTATGACATGGAACAAATAAATGCAAAAGAAGCACTAAAATGTGACGTTTGGAGAAAAGCAATGAATACTAAACATGACACCCTCATCAAAAATAAAACTCGGACTCTAGTTCCCATACTAGAGGACAAGAATATTATTGGATGCAAATGGATCTTCAAAGTAAAGAAGAACTCAGATGGTACTGTTGCTAGGCATAAAGCTAGAGTAGTGGCACAAGGGTATTCACAACAAGATGGATTTGACTTTCATGAAACATTCAGTCCTGTAGTGAAGCCTACAAGAATCAGAATAATGCTGAGCATAGTTGTACAGAAAGGCTGGAACATAAGGCATTTGGACATCAACAATGCATTCTTTTATGGAGACATTCATGAAAACATGTATATGAGGCAACCATTGGGATTTGAAAAGAAGAAAGATTATAGTGAGCTGGTTTGCAAGCTCTCAAAAGCCATTTATGGCTTGAAACAAGCATCCAGAGCTTGGTTTGAGAAAATAAGAAATATTTTTTCCACCCTTGGATTTGCAAAGTCAAGAGCTGACACATCATCATTATTTTACAGGATAAAAAAAGCAAGTCAAGTTTACATGTTGATTTATGTGGTTGATATTTTAATAACAGGAAATGACAAACAGGAGATCCAGATGGTGGTGAATGAAATGAAAAAATTCTTCTCCATGAAAGACTTGGGGAATGTCAAACAGTTCCTTGGCATTAATGTAACTGAGACTACATAAGGATTATTTCTGAGCCAAGAGCAATATATCAAAAGCTTACTCAAAAAGGCTGGAATGGAAACTGCAAAGGGATGCCCCACACCAATGATCACTTCAATTCATCTATCAAAAGTGGAAGGCAAGAAAAATGGATTCAGTGGAACCCTTTATAGAAGCCTTGTTGGAGGCTTGCAAAATGTGGTGACTATTATCAGGATAAAAATATCCTTTTCAGTGAAATATAACTCAGTTCTTGAGCAATCCTTTGGACACTCATTGGAAGGCATTAAAAAGGATCATGAGATACCTTGCAGGATCTTATGATTATAGATTGACTACCAAGAGCAATGATTCCTTGAAGATAATGGCATTTTCAGATTCAGACTGGGCAACTGATGTAGATTACAAAAAGTCAGTGAGTGGTTTTTGTGTCTATCTTGGAGGAAATCTAGTTTTATGGAGCTCAAAAGAAACAAGCATTTGTCTTAATATCTAGTACGGAAGCCGAATACAGAAGCCTAGCCAATTGCACATCAGAAATCACATTGATATTGTCTTTCCTAAATGAGTTGCAAGTGAAAATCAGTGGTGTGCCAACAATATGTGTTGATAACCTTAGTACCATTGTATTAGCTTTAAACCCAGTGCAGTATGCTAGGACAAAGAACATAGAACTAGATTTGCCTTTTGTGAGAGACAAAGTTTCAATAGTGTTTGTTATGTTTTTGTGTGTTTTTATTGTGTTTTTTATTTGCTTGAGTCGAGTATTTTTAGGCTCGGTTTGTGCGTCCCGGTCTATTTTTGTTCGTTTTTAGTAGCTTTTCGTTTTTGAGTCGTTTTCGTATATTTCTCATCCCCTTTGTGCATTTTGGTGTTTTGTAGGCCTGAAAGGAAGGAATAGTCGTTTCATGATTTGTCGTCCCGAGTGTTCATCATCAAAGTTCGTCGGTGAAGGGAGAAAGGAATCGATTAAGAGGGTCAAAATTTCACGTCGATCAGAGCAATGTACGATGATTTAGAGCTTTTTTAAGTCGAGCCATAGTCGGGACAAAAATTCCAAGCCTAGCACTTCATTCCAGGAATCCGCGCGCACGAAATTTTTGTGGGATACACCAAACTCGCGAGATAGGCCACTTGCAGACCTCAGAACTCGTGGGCCTAGCTCGCGAACGCAAGCTACCTCACGAGTTCCTTTTGTGTGTACCCAGATGACACTGCCCGCGAGTTTTCGATTCGCGCCTGCAAAAACACGCTAAGCCGCGAGTTCCCGTATCCCGCGAGTCCCAAAGTTCGCGCCTGCGAGGAAGGCTCAAACCGCGAGTCCTGCTATGTGCCTCTGCCTGCGAACTTCTCTCCCTCGTGCCCGTGAATACCTCGCACCCCTCGAGTTCCACTTGGTCAGCAAAATTATCCTGCGAAATTGAAGATCCAACTCGCGAGTTCGACTTAACTCGCGAGTGTTTCACTTAATTGTGCATTTTTTTACTATGTGATTGTGTTGGAGTATAAATACATTTGATGCTTTGTATTTTGGGAATCCACCTTTCATTATATCAGTTTTCTTTTTAAGACTTTAGCTTATGTTTTAAGTGTTAGAGTAGTATACCCGACGTTCCAATTGGATTGGACGTATTCTACTTGTAAATACAATCTATTGGAATTATATTAAAAAATAAGGCATTACTTTATTTTAAGAGTAAGCATTTATCATATATTTTCACTTAAGATAAAATCCCTAGATCACTTATAGCTATAAGATATGGTTGCGCATAGAGATGGTGATCATGGAACATATCTTGAAAGCTGTGATCTTAAATACAGTTCCGAGTTGTTGGATGTTTCGAGATGGGATATCGAATAAATCCGGAAAAGACTTGCACATATTA